AGAGGCTGCTTCTAGAGTCCTTGAGAAGCACGGGCCTGGAAGTTGCTGAGATCTGAGGTGGGCTCTGACCAGATCATCTTCCATCCAAGTGGGAGCCTTGAGCAAGTCACTCAACTTCTGTGACCTGGGTTTCCTCAGCCCTAAGGGGACAGTAGTGAGAATTAACTGAGGATATACTCTGAGCCCCCTCGACAGAGCTCTGGTGGAGTAGTCCATAGAGAGTTGTGCTCCTAACCCAAAGGCAGTGTGCCTCGTTGGCGGTTCAAATCCACCAGTCGCTCTGAGGAAGAAAGATGGGCAATCTCCTCCTGGGTGATTTACGGCCTCGGCCACCCAATGGAGGGTCAGTTACGAGTTAGTTCCAACTTGACATCTGTGAGAGACCATGTCGAGGGGATCTGGTGGGATAATGTGTGATGTGCTGAACTCTTAGTCAAAGTTGGTGGTTCAAATTCATGAGCTCCTTTGGATTTGCAGCCTCGAAAATCCAATGGTGAGTCAACATGAGTGGAAATCAACAGCAGTGGGTTTGGTTTTTTCATAGACAGTGTCTGGAGTTGTTGGATGGTGCACAGAGTTAATGCGTCACCAGCTAATCAAAACACTGGAGGTTCAGGTCCACACAGCAGTGCCTTGGAAGGAAGACCTGGAGAATCTACTTGTTTAAAAATCAGTCATATGCACACCCATGTTTATTGCAGCTTTGTTCACAATAGCAAAGAGCTGGAAACAACCCAAGTGCCCATCAACAAATAAATGGACAGAAGAAATGCTCTGGTATATCCACACAATGGAATACTATGCAGCACTGAAAAACAAGGAACTCAAGAAATAGTTTGCAAAATGGATGACCCTGGAGGAAATTATGCTGAGTGAAATACCTCAGTCATGAAAGGATAAATATTACATTAGGGCCATTCTTGTAAAACGGGACTGACATCGGGTTTGAGGGAAGACAGAGAAGGAGGGGGGGAATGATGTATACTGCATTGAAACAGACGAGGGAGAGAACTGTGTAAAAGGGACATGTGATAGGGTATTATTGTCATGACAGGAGTCCGGAATGAAGGCTGCACAGTGGAGTGGACCTGGAGGGAGGGACTGCATAACAATGAAAGAGTTTTTCTTTTTCTTTTCAAGGAGAAGAGTGAATTGGGGGGAAGGGGTGGGCAAGGAGAAAAGTACAACAATGAATGACTGAAAACCCTAAGTCTCTATCAACTTTCATTAAAATTAATGAAATAAAAATGAGTCATTGCAAATACTGTATAAGACCATTACTGTAGAACGTATATGAGGATCCAAAGGGGGGTGCAGAGGGGTGAGGATGGGCCAGAGGGTTAATGAAAGGGTTGCACAATTTGCTGTGTGGAGGGTATAAAGGAAATGGGAAAGATCTGATGTGAAAAACAATGTATATGAACTTTGTAAGTAAATCAGTATAAAACAAAAATTTTCTTTTAAAAAAATCCGTTATTGACATGAAGAACAGCTCTATTCTGTGAGTCAGTGTCTGGTCCACTGCCTTCAAAAATGGTAGAAAAGTCAGCATTTACTAGTCATTCCACAAACCAGCATTGTTATTGTTGTTGTTAGGCACTGTTGAGAAAGATTCATAGCAACCCTGTGAACAGCAGATCTGAACGCTGTCCTGTCCTGTGCCATCCTCATCATCGCTGGACAGTTGAGCCCATTGCTGCAGTCACTGCATCAATCCAGTTCATTGAGGGCCTCCGTCTCTTTCACTGACCCTCTACTTTTCCTAGCATAATATCCCTCCCAAAGGAACAGTCCCCCCAAGCCACATTCCCAAGTATGTGAAGCAAAGCCTCACCATCCTTGTACTTTCTCCAAGATATATTTGTTTGTTCTTTGGGCAGTGCATTCAGCCTTCTCCAACACCACAACTCAAAGACATGAGTTATTCTTCTTGTCATCTTTACCCCTTGTCCAGTTTTCAGGTGTACCTTAGTCCTAAAACTGATACCATTGCTCTTTAGTAATTTGGAGAGGTCCCGATGTAGACTTTGCCAGTATAATATGCCTCCTGGTCTCCTGACTGCTAGTATCAAGGATGCTGATTGTGGATTCAAGTAAGATGAAGGCGTTGACAAGCACTGAGTACACGCAATGACCCTCACAACAACTCTTAAAGCTGGACCCGAGACTTCTTGTTCTTTGCGGCAGTTTCAGCTGCTTCAAGAATGATCGCCCCAAAAATTAACCAGGGAAAACTAATAAGGTGGCCACTCTGAGGAAGCTGAGATCAGTGCTCCCAGCCCTGCCTTTAAGGAGTGAATGGGCGGAGCTGGCCTGAAAGCTCAGAAGAAGGAACACTTCTCTTCCAAGTGCTGTCTCCGTTTCCCACAATGAGGTGAGGCTCATCCGTTTGATGGGAGGAGGTTGCCACACTCTTATGTCTTCTCCTACTTAAGAGCAGTGAGGAAGCTGTCCCCACCCCACTCTCGCCCCTTCTCAGATTCATTTATGTTACCGTCATTTGTTTCTTCTCAAGTTCCCGGGGGAGGCTGCATGCAGATGGAGGGTTGGGTGCATGGGAACACTCCCAAGTCACTCAGGTATTGGCACAAAGGACACCAGTTTTCACACCCACCTCCTGGCCCAGAGAGGTGCTTTGGGGACTGCAGAGGGGTGTATAGACAGGTAGCTCTACCAAGGAGAGCTGGCTTATTTATACTGTCTCCATTTAAGATGTCATTTAAAGGAAGGATTTACTCCTAAAAACAAAAACTAGCTTGAGATCCATTTTCTCGGAGCTTCCGAGAGCAGAGCCCCAGATTTATTTAATCCTTGTGATTCCTGCGGACAGAGGCAGGAGGCTCTATTCTCAGTCACAGGAAACCTCTTCCTTTCTCTTTCACTCAAGCAAGCCTTGAGTACCTACTTTGAGACTTTGGGAGGCAGGAAAGACACCCCAAATGCAGGACAAAGAGCCAACAAATGCTAATTAATATAGCCAGTCTATTCTTTAGGCTACATAACCTTGTGATTTCCCCCCCCCCCACCACCATTTACTTATTTGTCCTGCTTCCTTTAACCAGACCATAATTATTCAGGGGTCAAGACACACTTCTTAATCACCAATCATTTCTTAAGCACTCACCATGGATGCAGGCCTGGAATGCTCACATTCTCTTGTGCAGTAGGCCAGTGGCCCTTAGTTGTTCCTGGATGGTATGAAGTCCATTTTTAACTCATAGCAACCCCCATGGGATGGCACAGAACAGCCACATCAAGTTTTCTAGGCTGTGATCTTTACCGAAACAGACTCCCAGAGCCTCTGGGAGCATTTGAACTGCCACCTTTTGGGTTCACAGCTGAGCACTTAACCATTGCACATTGCACCACTGGAGCACCTAGCAGTCTTAGCACAGGGTAATTGATTAGGGAGGCCCAGGCAACGTGCCACAAAGAAGCTAGAATTTAAGCTGCCACTTGCCCAAAAGAATATCTAGAAGCTAACATCCGCTGGTTTCCTGAGGGCACAGTGCAGCCTCCTTCGCTTGGTCCAGCAGCAAATCCACAGGAGCACAAGCAGGTGTGAGGCAGAAAAAGCTTCCAGGTGGGTCTCCGAGAGCCTCCTGGAAGAAAGACTTTACAGCTGGGTTTTGAAGGAGGAGGAGGCTAAAGCTGGAGTAGCTGCTAGGAGAAAGAAGTGTGTGTCCAGGTTGGGACGCTGCCAGAAGCAAAGGCAATTAAGTGAAGGCAGCAGGGCTTGGAGCAGAAGATGGTGATAAAGACGGGAGGGGACGGACGGAGAGCCAGTCCAGCTCGAGTGGAGGGAAAGGCAGAAAGGAAAAAAGCTATGGTGGAGGGAGCTCGGGGAAATGGGAACCAGCTGGTGGCTGGGATTTGGGATTCAGTAAAAGTGGTGTGTGTACCTTGATTATGATGGGTGATGAGAAATGCAATAATGGAAGAGAGGCCCATTTACAATCATGCCTCGACCCCAGCCTAGTAAAACGGGGGAGGTAGGGAGACCTCACTTCCCCTGAAAGGACTTGGACTGGTATTCCCCTTTTCTTCCCCAGCTCCAATTAAAATCCCGATCTTCCCAGCACAGCAGAGTTTGGTTCTCTAGGCCTTATGGAGGGTTTGAGGGGCAACCGGGTAAGGACAAGGTTTGGGAAGGGTTGGTCATCAGGGCGCTGCCTCATGGACAGCGCAGAAAGGAGAAATGCCAGGGGAGCGAGGGAAGGGCCCAGCTTAGCCTCTAAAGTCTCCCAGCTGTGACCCACATCTGGGGCTTCCGGAAACCTGACTCGAACGCTCTTACTACCACTCAGGCGTATCCATTCATTGTCAGGTAGAGGTGCAAGGGGGAAAGGAGGGACACACACCACACACACACACACACACCCCCACACGTGCGCGCGCGCGAGCCACATATTAACGAAGCTCCGGCCCTGGAGGGGAGGCTGGCGTCCAGGGTTGGGTAACAGAGGTAGCTGGACACGTGGCTTCCCTCCGATTCTCCGGGGAAGCCGCCTTCCCTCGGTGCCCTTCGCTCTAATACTGTGAATGAACCTCGCAGAGGAGGCGAGAGAGCGCGCGCGAGCAGCAGAGAGGCGGGAGCCGAGCAAATCCCGGCTGGGGAGAAGGAGCGAGGGGCGCGGAGGGGAGCGGG